ATAATTTATATATAAATAATCCATGCAATCTATGGAAAAACCAATCAAAACAAAACTAAATGACCAGAAAAGCTTTTTTTCACTGTTGTTTACATTTTTCTCTAGAATATTTTTTTTTGTTCTTCTTTTGTTATTGTCACATCAAATGTGAATGTCAAAACAAAGAACACAGAAAACTTTTTGACATTTGGAATATGAAAAGGAAATTCCAGTATAAAAGTCTACCCAAATGCTTTTTCATTGTGTGTTTGCAGATTTTTTTTTGTTTTTCAATTTTGCTTTTATATTTTTATGTGAACATTTTTGACATTAGAAAAGAGCGCATTTTGCGATGTTTCATTACCGCGAGTTTCACATTAACCATATGGCAGATGGCAAGTATACAAAATTGAATGCTGAAAGCATTGCAACCTTAGTTTGTTTTCAATTTAATGGTAGCGTACGCTTCACACATACACACACCCGCAAACGTTTCACACATACACGACACGAATGCGGCACACATACACAAATACACCAATTTTACACCTAAACAGATGGTGGCAACGAAACTGAAACTTTTGGTGCTGATTCGCATTTACAGTTCTTCGAGATACACGCCGCATACGCAAAGCGACAAAAAACGGCTGAGCGAACGGAGGCTGTAGTGAAGTGAAAAATTATTTATTACAAAAATTTCAAACTAAAAGTAACTGGAAAAGTAAAACAAAAAAAAAATTAATGTGAAGTGAAAAAAAAATTTTGATGTGAAGCGTAAAAAAATAATTGTTGAAGTTTTTCTAACAATAAAAAATAAAAATTGACTATGTGCAGGAAAAATATAAAAAAAATTCAAAGAACAAATGAAAAAAAAAATTAAAGAAAATCTTTAAATTATAATTATTGTACAAGTGTTAAAATTAAAATAATTTGTTATAAACAAGCAAAAAATTGGGAAGCAAAAATTTTTTAATTTGTAATCAAGTAAATATAAATATTTAATTTAAAGTGTGTAGCAGAAGCACTTTAGCAAAAATAGAAAATTGAGTATCTTTTATAGAAGAAATAAACGAACACACGGTAACAATATAAAAATCAAAAAAAAAATATATAGAAAACAAAAAAACACAACAAAAAGTTTTAGTAACCACAGAAGAAAAAGAAGAAGAAGCAGTGGAAAATGTGCGAGTTTCACTGCTACACTTAACCTTGACATATCAAACGACAAGACGCATCTCAGTTGAGCAAACTTAACAAAAAACAACAAAAAAAAAACTAAAAACAATACAAGAAACAAAATATAAAAAAAATCAACAACAATAATAAGCAAACAAACAAAAGCACTAAATTTAAAAACAAACATAAAAACTAAATATGTTAAAAATTTAAAATAATATAAATACTTATAACAAAATTACTTAAAAAGCATCAATCATATAAAAATTTATTTAAAAAAAAACTAAATTTAAAAAAAAATTATTTACAACAAATAATACAAAACTCAACGTTAACAAAACATATTGTAATACATATATAAAATATAAATATTAAATACAAAATATCTTTCTTCTATTTTTTTTTCCTCAACTTTACGAACCTCCAAAATTGCTGCAGTAAAAGAAAAATGTGTAGAATTTTTTAAGAAAAAAGGCTTGTAAATATTTAAAAAGTAGCCTAAAGCGCGATTCCAATTATATACATTTTTTTTTAATAAAAAAAAATTTTTTTTTTGTTTTCTATCTTCTACCTTTGCAATTTTTTATTTTAACGCAACACTTACAGCATCGCTTTGTGCTTTCTAAAGTTACAAAAAAAAAAAAAACAAATGTTACAAATATCTTTACATTTATATGTATTTATATATATACGTATGTATATAAATAAAATAAGCAGCGACGTTGTAACATCCTTCTTAAGGACATTCCAAAGGCAATTTTATACGCTCTAGCAGCTTCGCACATGTACACACAGATACTGAACACACACAGCTACACAATTGCACACTCACAAATACATTTGTACACTTGAATTCGTACTTAAATACATATATTTTCTAGCCTTATACACACACAATTTGTTCTATGCTAGTACCAAAGCACCACAACAATAACAAGAAGTTACAATAGTAACAACCAACCAAAAACAACAAAAAAAACATAAAATAATAATAATAATAAAAACGTATTGCATATGTGCAATGTTACAAAAGTAACAGTGAAAACAATTTCAAAGCTCAAAAAAAAAAAAAAACTGCATAGCATAAACTAAAATGTACTGCAAAATGTTGTAGTTTATATTGAAATATATATCTCTCTTTGTATATATACGTACGACTATGAACACAGTTTCACATACATTATGGCATATGTAGCGAATTGAAACTAATTGAAATGTCATACTAAAGTACAATTTTACTGCAATGTCAACAGAATTCAAGCGTTTTCACAGCTTTTGGCTACTCTGAAGCTGTAAACTTTCAAAAAGTTAATTTATTTTTATTTACAAATATTTCTCTTTATTTAAATTTTTTTTTATATTAAATATTTATAATTTTTAAAATAAATATTATTTATATTTATAATTACTACATTTACTCGTAAATATATTCAATTAAAGTTTTTAAAGTGGTAAAAAACAACCAAATAATAAAACCTTTCCAGTGTGAATCTGTTTTTTGAGACATCATGGCGTATACGCAACATTAAAATTATTTACTTTTGCTCACTGCTTGACATGGTTAAATATGGCACTTGGTTAAGTTTTAAAATACCTAATAGCTACATTTAAGGTTTTGCCTTTACATTGACCTTTTTTGTCTAATAAAATAACTTCTTATTATTTAATTTGTTATACCAACAATGTGTATAGAAAAAAAAAATTAATTAAATGTTTTGTGTGTTTAAATTAAGGACAGTAGACGTACATAGGAAACTTCGCCATCTTCAAGAAAGAACACTTAGTGTTAAATTGTATATAAATATATATATTTTAAGTATATTAACTAGTATATTAAGTATTTTTTATTAAAAAAATGATATTCTTTAGTTATAATTAAATTCAAAAATCAAATTTAATTTGAATAATTAAATTTATTTATTTAGTTTTTTATGAATTATTGATTTATATTAATCATATAAAAACCACTACTTAATTTCAAGTTATATTATATATAAACATATATATAGTGATTTTTTTATGATTTATATAAATCAATAATTCATAATAATGTAAATAAATGAAAATTTAGTTATTCATATTAATTAGATTAGATTAGTCAATTTTAATTCAAGATTAACAGTTTATTTATGCAAGAACTTAATGATGACGCTTTAAATTTAATAATTTTTAAAAATTGTTATAATTAATTTTTAAAAACTTATATGAATAAATTTGGTTTATTTAAATTTAATAAAATTGCTAAAGTCAATTATGACTAAAAAATATCATTTCTATTATAAAAGTACTTGGATAATTAAGCTATAAATTGACTAGTGATTTTTTATATACTTTATATAAATCAATAATTCATAAAAACATAGATAAATAACTTTATTTTATTAAAATCTTAATTAGTTTATAAAGTCAATTATGACGAAAGAATAATATTTTTTAATGGAAGCTATTATCTTCGTATGATTTGTAATATTTATAAAAGCGTATATAAATAAATTTAGTTTATTTTAATTTAATTTGATTTTTAAATTCAATTGTGACTAAAAATTTATTTCATTAACAAACATTTTTATCCTAATTCAAAGGTTTTTAAAAAGTACTCAAAAAACAGTTTTTATTAATTGAATTTTTCACTGATCACACAACTGTTTTGAGTATACTCATCAGTGGTCTTTAGAAAATAATTTATAAAATTAATTTTAATTTTATATTTAATTATTTCATTGCAAATATATTTTTTTGAACTACAATCACCAAAAGTTTAACTTTTACCTTGTTAAATTTATAACTTATAGTCAGTGTTAATCAGCTAACAGTGCAGAATTTAAATTAAAATAAAACTTATTATAAAAAAATTATAAAAATTTTATAAATTTAAATAAAACCAAGATAATCTAA